GAGAAGACTTTGCAACTAAAAGCCTCTCCATTCTTCTTGCTGGGGGGGTGTTAGGGCAGCACAGGCTGACTAAGTCTGCTCACCTAAGAGTGCCAAGAGTCTAAGCAGGCAACAAGGAAGTGGAGTAGACCTGATGACTAAGACCTATCTGTCACTTTGCCAAATCAGCTTGAGGATGATTTGGTCAAGTCATTCTTCTGACACTTGAGCAGCCTTTGCAAGCAAACTCTTCTCTGGCATCCTGACAAGTGGGATCTATGGCTGGACAAAGTGTGCAACCAAGATAACAAGGACATGAAAGCTGGTGCTATGAAGGTTATGCTAATATTGAATGAACTGAGAACAGTGCACTAGGTCTTTTGAGTAGTGCTTTCTCAGTAATAGGCATTCCTTCTACCATTAGAGTCATGAGGAGCTAAACTTGAATCTGGTCTAGAAGTTGATGTGCCAAATTTGAATGGATGCATCACTGACAGCATGATGTGCTGCAGGAGGGAAAGGTTGACTGCTGTGGACAGCTCAGCCAACTAGTGCATATATGAGCAAGATTCTCATGGCACTTGTCTTTGGAGGGGCAACATACCAGAATGACAATCCAATCCTACCAGTAGTTTGAGCAGAGTGGACAATGTGGCATTGATAGGTGGCTCAATGAGCAAGACGTCGCCATCAGGAATGGGGAGGTAGGCAGTCACTGCCAGTCAATCCGGGTGTCTGAGAGGACAGAGTGGGAGCATCTCACAAAGCAGATGGATGCTCTCCGGCTACAGCTTTGTCAAGGATCTCCTGCACCTCAGGCAGGTACTCCTCGACCTCCTCAGCCTGCTCCCTCCCCTCCCCCTCCCTCCCCTCCCCCTCCCACACAGCCTGCTCCTCCACTTTCTCATCCTCGGCCCTCTCCTCCTCCTTCTCCTCCTCCTTGTCTTCTGGCTCCTCATGCCCATAGGAATAGGAAGGCCTTGACAGGTGCTGATAAGGTGGATCACTATCAATCTGCCAGGCATGTGGTGAACAAAAATGCCTTTAGCAGGGGAATGCTTCCCTCGAAGACACAGCCTGATGATGATGGAACTGTGTGAATGAGAAGCATGGCAATGCCAGAAGCAGGCAGATGACCAAGGCCAGAAGCACAAGCAAGAAGCAGGGAACAAAAGCAACCAAAAGTGAAAGCAACCAAAAAAGCCAACACTCAAGAATCTCCCCACCAGTAATGACCTTGACACATATACTTAAAACAATGTTTAGGTACAATCCAATTCTTGTGCACCACATCACTGCTCAAGGGTACCAGGCTGATGTCCCAAGTCCACATGCGCTGGTCAAGCATTGTAGTTGATAGTGCTTGGGGCAGATCCATTTTTGTCATGACAACTATGCAGGGGAGGTTGAGATCTCTTATCAGGTCTGTTATGCATCAGCATCAGCACAATTCCTTTCTCCCTTCTTGTGCTGAGAGGGTAGGGAGATGGCACTCACCAATAGCAGCACACACCCACACCATCCTCCTGCTGGTTGCATCAAACAACATGAATACCTTGTCAACATACGGCATCCAGCCTGGCCAATCATGCTCATCCCCCTCCCAATCTATGAGTGTGGAATCGATCTCCAGTATCTGGTAGTGCATCTCTGGGGCTGGGCCAGGGTCAGGGGCAGACATGCAGATTCTGGAGGTGAGATATTGGTCTGTGTGGGCTCTCCCACAGCAGGAACAAGAGCAAGGATAAGGGAAGATGACTCACACAAAAGTTTCCCATCTTGATCCTTGACCTCCCCTACTCTCCTAACCCCTGGCCAACCCTCCATGCCCCCCAGGACAAATGTTGTCTTCCTGCTCCCCTCCAGTCAGAAAACAGTGATGTGAAATGGGTGATCTGGCATGCCGGTGATCCAACCCAAAAGGTGTCTGAAATACCAGGGGTCCAAATAAGTCAGTCTGATGGGTGGTGTGCAAGAACTTGCTAGGGAAAGAGGGGAGAGAAGGGGAAAACTGGTAGAAATGCCAGAGTCAGCCTGTAGCTGAGCTATCAAAAGTCAGGATGCAATAATTGGAGCTCAGTGTCCATCTAGTGAAGTCACAATAAGTCAAGTCAAATCTGCTAAGTCAAGTCAAATCTGCCTATCCAGTAAGGGGATAATTGGATCCATATAAGTCAAACAGAAAAGGGGCAGAATAAGCTAGATACAGGAGTTTCTGGACACTACTTATACTAGCTACTCTAAACTAAATTCAATACTAATCTGGTCTCTAGATACCTCTCGAAGGCAGACATTGGCATGCCGAATATCTGTGTGGGTCGATCCCATTGCAGAGGAAACCCGCGGTCGTCATGCTGAATATCTGGGTGGTCTTGTCGCCTGGGGAAACCTCATAGTCATCATGCCAAATATCCGAAGAGTCGAGACTCATTGCTGGGGTGCATTGTCCTGTGTGGTGAGGGTCTGTAGTGCCATGCAACGGTCTCTAAGGGCCTGAAAATAGCTGTGGGAATATCGGCCTGACACACCCCACCAGAGGTGGGATTGTTCACCAGAATTAGGTGAGGGTGGCAGGGGGAAAGGGGAAGGGAGGTTGGAGAGTGAGGACAGCATCAGGGTGTCCCTTCCTGAGAGCTGGAGGGGAGTTAACATGTGCTAAGATGGGAAGGCAGGAGCAGGACACAAACAGTCTTGGAATTACTCCTCGCTCTTCCTTCTTCTATGGGTGAGATGCCCACTTCCCTTCCTAAGCCCAAGCTTGGCCTGCAATGCAAGCTCAACCTCTCCCTCCCCAATATAGATGTATCCACCCATGGTGCGCTCATCTTCTGCCAGATGGTTACAGGGTCACCTTTGAGCACATGCAGGAAATGGAGGTGCAAGGGCAAGGTGCATACAGGCTTTGGGCTGGGGGGGCCTGTCCACCCCTCCCCCTCCCTGGGGAGGAGGGGGAGTGTTACTAGGGTTTGAAGATGAGTATGCATGTATGTTCATCCCCATGAAGGACATGAGTTTCCCCCTCCCATGTCAGTCGAGTGCCTTCTGCCATTTGATGGTGTGGAAGTATCCATTGCCAGAGCAGGAATGTGGCTGTTATACCCTTCCTTGACCATCAGTGCACATTCTCACTTCCCCTCCCCTGCACTGTCGCCCCTCCACCTGCCGGTAAAGGAATACTGCTGCATACTGCTTATGCTCTGCAGCATCCTGCTTGTGCAGCTGTTTGGCCTGCTGAAGAGAAGAGGGATAGGCATGGGAGTGGACGTCCAACAGCCCAGAGGCAGCAGAATTGGTGCTCATGCATTATTGCTGTGCTTTGAGGAGCAGTGGGAGTGGTGTGGGAGAGAAGTGCTCCTCTTGCAGGCATCAGAGGGTTGAGGAGGAGGTTGGAGGGCATGGGAGACAGTGGCATATGGATGTTGGTGGGAGTGTTGACAGTGAAGCATAAGGATGGCCTGACATCTTTTGCTACTCTTGTTGTTGCTATCTTCTGCTGCCATTGTAGTTCTTAATGGATAAACTGATGAGAGGTGTTGGATGAGATTATTTGCTGCAAATGTTGAAAGTGCTGTCAGATAAACAACTGTTGGGGTCTAGTCCAGAATCATCCAGCAGAGAGCAGTGTATAATAGAGTTGAGCAAATCATCAAACAGAGAAGAGTAGAGTGAGTGTTGTCATTGTTGGTGTCAAAAGAGTGAACGAAAGGTGACCTCAAGGTTGCTGATGCCTGATCAGCAGCCAATTTATCTTCTTTCCCTTTTTCCCCCATCCCCTACTAGTGTATGCCATACTGTGATTACACCTGGTGGAAATGAGTAGAGGTGGAAAGGATACCCAGTCTGGTACTTTTTTCTGTAACACTTACCCCCTTTTGTGGAATGGACAGTGCCTGTGCTTGCTGTTGCATAAGGCACCTGATAGTACTGAGGTTGAGGAGGAACACAGTGACAGCACTGGTCAAAATAACACTTGGTCCCATACACATTCTGCACCATCCTCTTCTCCTCTTGTTTTCTTCTCCCTTCCCTTTCTTAGAAATTGCAGTAACCCTAAATTTATATATGTGGAGTGATTCTGCAAAATATTAAATTTACATTCAAATTCCTTTGGGTGAGTTTGGAATCTCTTTTATATTTCACAATGAAATCTTGGAGAAATCAGCTCACTGCTAGGCTGATCCCCAACTACCATATAATACACAATAGCATCAAGTATTGCATCATTGCATCATATACATAACAACAGACAACAAGTTACATGAGGGAGACTATAACCAGCACCAACCTCCCACTCCTATCATCATCAGATATTGGTTATATATCCATCTTGTAAGTATCACCAGCCTCCCCATGCCAACGGTGGCCTCTTTGTCATCACTTCTCCATTAGCTTTGGCTCATATATTTTGTACATTTGTACATCATCTCATTTGTCAGTTAGTTGCATGTGTGAAGGTGGTGGAATCATAGAAAATAGGGAAGGGGAGAACACATGAGTTGGAAGGTAGAAAGGAGTAGGAAGGTGGGAAGGGGAAGGGTAGAACAGCATATAATAATGGTTTAAGAGATTTGAAAAGAATTGACAGATGAAAATACACTAAAGTCACAGGATTTGTACATAATACACAACCTTTTTTTTTCAAACGGAAGCATTCCTTCACACACTTTTTTGTCCTTGAGCGCTTCTCGCCACGGATGCATGTCTTCACGTGTTGATTCCCACACATCACGTGAGTGTGAACAATCGATGCTTTTCTTCTCCTCGGAAGAAGTTCAGTCCCTCATCGAATAGGGCACTGACACCATGCGCTCACGTATTGCTGTCCACAATGCTCGTTCTTACTTCTCTCACTTCTTGTTTGTCTACCACCACCACTATCTCCTCCTCCTCCTCCTTTATTACCATCTGTAGCCAGAGTTGGTTACCCCTCCATCCCCCTCGCCCGCACATGTCACTCAATGTCATCCCAATGGACACCACCTCCCTCCTCATCCTCGCCACCCCATCCATCATCGTCCTCCTCTTCCTATACATAACCCTCCAGTACCTAACCATAAAGGAGGTTGTGTCCCTACATGAGCTCCCCGGACCTCCAGGAGGGTGGTATGGTCCCGTCGGCCACCTGCCCCAGCTACTCGAGTACGCCCATCCCCATCCCCGCTTTCCCCGCTCCAAGCTAACACCCGCACGTGCAGCCCGGACGTCTCCCCGGAAACGCACGAGCGCTACACGCGTCTCTACGGCCCCACCTTCCAGACCTTCGGCTTCGGTCCCTTAGACAGGAGACTCTTCTCCCTTTCCCCCCCTGTGGTCAAGTACATACTAGACCACCCTGAGAAGTATCAGAAAGGCTGGCAGGGGCGGGCGTATGTCGACCAGGCGATCGGGGAGGGCGGGCTGGCCATGGCCGAGGGGACAATACACAGGGTTATGGTGAGTCGTGCTTTCTGGCTGGGTGGAAGATCCTGACAAGACGATCTCGTGTTCAGAGAAGGTTACTCCAGCCCGTGTTCCGTAAGAAAAACCTCGATGCCCTCTCCCCTATCTCTTCCACCAAAGCGCTCGAGCTCTGCCACATGCTCCACGCCCATTCCCTCTCCCGCCCGAGCGCGGAGCTCGACATCCTCCCCCTCCTTACAAGGGCCACGTTTGACGTCATCGGCCTTGCCGGCTTTGGGCACGCGTTTGACTGCCTTTCCGATCCAGGGAGGGACCCGCTGTATCAGGCTTTCCAGGGGCTGTTTAGCTCCATTAGCGGGTTTACGCTGCGCATGTGGATGGGGATATATTTCCCCTGGCTGGACGAACGTTTCGTATGTCTACTGTTACCTATAACGCGCTGTAGCTGATACGGGTCGCGGACAGCCTGATCAACGTGTGAAGACGATACGCGAAAGTAGGGCGCTGATCGATAGCACCGTCAAGCACTGGATCAGAGACCGGCAGGCGGAGATCGGCGGCGAGAAAGTGAGCTCGCGTGCAGCAGGCGCGCCGAAGGACCTGCTAACACTCATGAGTCCGTCCTCGCCCCTCTGTTCGCTATAAAGCCTAACACTCCCACAGTCCAAGAGATCATCTCCGCCGCTCCTAAAGCGCCTATGGTGGACGAACTCGTCATCGCCCAAGTCAACACCTTCCTCATGGCCGGGTCCGAGACGACAGCGCTCACGATCGCCTGGGCACTGTACTACCTCTCCCAGAACGCGGCGGTCCAGTTCTCCCTGCGCGAGGAATGCATGTCCGTTAACCCCGATATGCCTGGGGCGTTCGTCGATGGCGTCGATAGGCTCCCACTGCTGGAAAAGGTCGTACGGGAAACACTGCGCCTCACTCCTGCGGTGCACAGTACGTTCCGCCAAGCGATGGAAGATGATATCATCCCCCTCCCCCCTACTCCCAGCAAAGGGGGGGAAACTGCCGGGCGCAGACAAGGCCCGATAGGGATAAGCATCCGGAAGGGGCAGTATGTGCGTATCCCCCTCGAGGGGCTGAACACGCTCCAGGAAGTGTGGGGCGAAGATGCACATGAATGGAACCCCGCTAGATGGGACGCGCTCATGTTTCCCCCATCTGGGGAGAAGCTGCGGGAAGATGGGAAAGGGAGGACGGGGTGGAAGACTTGGGCTGGGTTGATGAGCTTTTCTGCGGGGCCGAAGGCTTGTATCGGCATGCGTTTCGCGTTGATCGAGTGGGTTTTCCTCTTTTCGCAGTCTAAGAGAGTGGGCTAAAGAGATGACAGGATCAAGATATTCTTGTTCCATCTGGTGCGGGAGTTTGAAGTCTCGTGTCCGAAACCGATCGTCAAGCGGAATGCGTGAGTTTTCTTTTGTAATTGTTGCCGGAGCACAGGGGCTAAGGGTAGGACAGGATGGTCGTGCGACCTATTGTGTGGATGGGGAGAACGATAAGGGACAGCAGCTTCCGCTGCTTATTCGTCCTGTACGGGATTGAGTTGTTTGTAAGCTGTTGCGCGCGTGTTGTGCTCTTGTGGAACTTCTTTTCTCTTGGATTTGTAGTTTGTACAGTAGAAACTCTGGAGTTGTGCAAATGCACCGCTTACCCCCATGGTGAATGGTAGCATATCCGTTGCTCAGGTGTTGAAATGGCTCAGCATATGGTCCCCATGTCAACTTGGACGAAAGAGCCGATGTCTCTCAGGCACAGGGTCTCCCCTCCGATAGCGGAGATCAGATCAAGGGGGTAGCGCTGTAACGTTAACGTCCATTGTACTTTTGTGGTGACTGGCCGCACAACGGCACCAGCATAGTACCGCACACGAAAGGGTCACGTTATCCAGCTCATTGTACATCCTTTTTTCAGTCCATGTCATCCCTTTCTCCTCCTTATCAACCTTGTCAACATTTACACGCAACATGTCCAGCCACTCTCGAACAGCTAGCTACACACGCCCAACCTCCTCCCCACCAACCCCAACGACATACACCTTCATCCACCCCCCTGTGCCCCGTTCTCCACCAGCCCCGCGCACCTCCGCACCGCTCCCAAAAGCCAAGGCACCGTTCTCCAAACATCCGGCGTTCGACAACCCCGATGCAGACCTCATCCTCCGCACGGGGGATAAAGTCCTCTTCCGAGTCTTTAGGGTCATCCTCATCGAGTCCTCAGACATCTTTCGTGACTTATTCGCCATCCCTCACCCTCCCACCCCACCTATCACCCCCTCTTCTTCTTCCTCGGCACACCCGATGATCCCGGTGCTCGACATCCCCGAACCCGCACGCTTGCTAAACGACTTCCTCCTATGTATCTACCCACTCCCACACCCGAGGTACACGACTCTTGAAGAGCTCATGCCGATGTTCGACTTAGCGCGGAAGTACACTTCCCAGAGGGTGGTCGACGTCCTCCGCGGGCAGCTAGTCAACCCCGACCTGATGCGCAAGACCGTTCCTCTCCGGGTGTACGCACTCGCGTGCAAGGAGGACCTGGAGCAGGAGAAGCGGATCGCCGCTGCTGCGTGCCTCGATATCGATATCGACAAGGCTGCGCTGTATATGGAGGCGCTCTGGCCTGAAGAGCTGAAGGACTGGAGCGCGCTAGACCTGACTAGGCTCATAAGGCTGAGGGATACGAGGTTTGAGCTCGCGGCGGAGCTCGTTAGGGGGTTGGAGGGAAAGGGAGTGTGCTGCGTTGGCTCGTGCAGACATGATTTTCAGGCGGACTACTTTCCCGAGTTTCAGGAAGCGGCACTCATGGAGCTTAGGAAGTGTCCGACGAGCAAAGTCGTGTTTACGGTGTGCCTATTCTCCCTATTTTGCGTAGAGTGCTGATGATAGAGTAGCATACGTTTGTCACCGCGTGTTTGAACAAAACTGCTGCGTCTTGTATTGGATGTACGAAGGAATACCTGGCGACGTCTGGGATGATTCTGGCGCATCTTAAGCGGAGGCTGGACATGCTACCTGATAACGTTCTCGAGATCAGCCGGAATGCTGATTGCTGATATATGACTGGAATTAATTAAACTGGATGGGATAGTGTATTGCACATGTATACACGTACGTATCTGTAACGGTAATTTATTTACTGTATGATCAATATTGATATGTTATTCACGTGACTGTCACTGGGAGGATTCGCACGGGAGCAATTACGATTTCCGTCGGATTTGACTCAAGTGATTTGTTCAAGCCAATTTTCGTTTACGCGTCTTGCTCCCAACGACGACCATCCTCTCTCCCACGTCCTCCGTCGCCGAATTCAGTGGTCAACAAATAGAGCGTTGTCGTTACTCTGCTGTCCGATTGTCCGATTGGCCTTACAGTGCTGCCCCCTGTCCCCGTCCGGTTGTGCATCTAAGTCTGCCCAGGTCCCGAGTGCATCCAACGTTCGATAACATCGAGAATCCATCGCCAACCTTCGTCGCTTCGGAATTTGGTCCCCAGATCAGCAGGTGTCCTATCCTGTTTAGATATATCGCAATACCAGCAATCGCGTGAACAACAGACGACCCCCTTGCCGACAAACATGTCTGCCCCTGAGCTCCAGACAGAAGAAGACAGCATCAATGCGGTGCTCGGTGCTGCGTCATCCCCAAGCCCGAGCGAGATGGATGTTGAGAATGCAGCAGCACATGGTGTAGGAGTGCACGTGGAGGTGGAGGACGATATTGGCGTGGAAGGTGCTTCAGATGCGGACGCTGATGGAGAGCCTGACGTGGATGCGGATGGAGAGGCCGACTTGGACGTGCAGGCAATCACCGTGGAACAACAAGATCCATCCAACGAAACTGGCCCAAATGGCTCAACAGAAAACGGAACGAACGGTGTTTACCTCCCCTCGGCAGCGGACTACTCGCCTTCTGGGCCCTCGGCACCTGTTCCTCTCCCCGACGTCCCACCAAGCCCTGTTAAGCAAGAGTTCTCCACCCCACCCGTGCTGCGCCCTGAGATTCCAGCCTCGATCACCGTTGCGATTCGTGCTGCCTCTGGTCGGCAGTCTGTTACACCTGGGGTGGAAGATGGGCCGATGGATAGGATCGAGCAGCTGAGGCAGAGGGTGAAGGATGATCCTTTTGATGCTGAGGCGCATTTGGCGCTGGTGTCTGCTGCAGAGGCAGCGGGAGACGTTGATCAGATCAAGCAGGCTTATGAAGGGTTACTGGGACCGTATGCTGGAGCAGTGAGTGCCTGTATGCTCCGTCGCTCGATATATGCTAACCCCAGAGCAGGCAACACACCAAATTTCCTACCTCTCCCACTTCCTCAACAACGCGGCGGACTTCCCATATGCAGAGTCTCTGTTCGCCCGCTTCCTGCGCGCTTCGCCTTCAGTCGAGCTCTGGAAGTTCTATCTCACGTACATCCGCCGTGTCAACCCGGGTGATGCAGGCAGGGAGACGGTCAAAAAGGCGTATGAGTTTGCTTTGGGATATATTGGATTCGATAAGGATTCGGGAGAGATATGGAGAGATTATCTACAGTTTTTAAAGGAGCAGCCGGTGCGTGTGAAGCCTCGTTCCAACCCCCAGCATGTCTGAAACAGTCTGCAGACATTGTCGACATGGGAAGAGCAGCAGAAGACAGACGTACTTCGGCGTACTTACCAGCGTTGTGTAGTCATCCCGCTGGAAAACATCGAGGCCCTGTGGCGTGAGTTTAACTCATTCGAGAACGCACAAAATAAGCAGACTGCGAAACGGTTCCTGGAGCAGTATTCCCCTGCCTACATCACTGCCCGGTCTTCGATGAAAACCCTTCGCCAGCTGCTAGACCCGATTACTCGTCCCCTGGCGAATGGCCTGCCTCTCCGTCCGACGTGGACAGAGCAGGACAAGAAGTACGCCATGGACTGGAAAGCATACCTCATGTGGGAAGAGTCCAATCCGCTAGACCTGGACGACACCGCTGCCCTCGCCACGCGCGTACAGGCCGCGTACCGAAAAGCCGTTGGATGGGCACGATTCTACCCTGAAGTGTGGTACATGGCATACAACTACCTTGTCTCGAACAGCAAGATTGAGGAAGGTGCAGTGCTTCTTCGCTCTGGCTGCGAAGGCAATCCGACCAGCTTCTTACTGCACTTTGCTACTGCTGAGCTGGAAGAAGGCAGAAAGAACTACCCTGCTGCGCACGCGACTTTCAACAACCTTATTACGAACCTCACCTCGCAAGTGAAACAGCTTCAAACGAGCATTGAGGCGGAAGCGGAACTCGCCAAGGGCGCAGAAATTGACACTTCAACCTTGGCAAACTCGGACTCGCTGTCGGAGGATTTTAGGAAGGCGAACGAGGAACGAGAGGAGCGGGGTCAGAGGGTGTGGGCGCGCAGGGGACGGGAATTCGAGGACTTGAAGGCAGGATTGCAGGTCGCGTGGATTATGCTCATGCGGTTTGCACGGAGAGCGGAGGGGCTAAAAGCTGCGCGGACGGTGTTCGGACGTGCGAGGAAGAGCGAATGGGCAGGTTGGCAGGTGTTTGAGGCTTCTGGTGCGTCCTTTCGTATTTCCGCTGAGGCTTCGTCTGATTGTATCGCAGCGTTGATGGAATATCACTGCACGAAAGCATCTGACGTGGCGGGCAAGATTTTCGAGCTCGGCCTGAAAAGCTTCGCAGATAACGTTGATTTTGTGTTACGTTACCTCGGATTCCTTATATCCATCAATGACGATGCCAGTACGTGTACTGCCCTTTCTGCTTCTGTCATCGACTCACTCTTTCCACAGATGCTCGAGCTCTGTTTGAGAGATTTATACCGACCTTTCCTGCAGATAAAGCCCGGCCACTCTGGGAACGCTGGGCACGCTACGAGTATAACTTTGGCGACTTGGCCGCGACTCAAAAGCTGGAGAAGCGCATAGCCGAAGCATTCCCTAACGACCCACCAACTAAGCGCTTCGCACAGAAATACGAGTACTTAAACATGAACACAATCCGAGACTTTGACATGGGCTTCGGGTATCGCCCGCCCGCTCCAGTACAAGTCCCTCCCCTCCCTCCAGCTCCAACCCTCCCACCTCCCCAACCAGCAAAACGTCCCGTCTCGCCATCCCCTCCACCGGCAGCAAGGCGCGAGCCACCGAAACGGCCTCGAGAACCCTCCCCAGACCGCCGTGGGCCGATCAAGAAATCCAGACAGGCGTCGCCTCCCCCTCGCGACCGGATTCCAGATCGTGGCTGGCAAGAACGGGATAATAGGGGGTATCAGAGTCCGCGGCCCCGCAGCCCCCCTTTGCCGTCATACGAAGACCGCGTCCCTGCCGCACCAGCAGCGCCCAGTGGGGCCGTCCCCGCGCTCATAGCGGCTCTGCTGGCCAAACTCCCGTCTGCGAACGTCTTCGACGGCCCTGTATTCAGGACAGACGACCTCATGCAGGTATTCCGTAATTCTGTCATCCCTGGGGGACAGATGCTTCCCGCTCCTTCTGGGCCGCCGCGCGCTCGCTCTCCACAGCCAGCACGAGGCGGCCGCCCACCGCCCGACTATGGCCCTTATCGAGGACCGAATTCCGGTCCTGGAAGGAGGTACTAACCTCTCTGTGCTTGAAAACCTCTGGTGGACTCCGGAGATCAATGAGTCTTGCTTACCGTTCTGATACAGTAGTATACGATACCCTCCTGTTCGATAGTATCAATATCATACTTATTGTTCGGGTTACGCTCCCATTGCACGTCCCCTTCTGCGCCCCTTCAGCGCGTTGAAGGACGAAGAGTCACCGCGTCCCCTCGGCGGAATTGTGCTCTCTCCCTCACTCATGGCTTCAATCTTCTGGACTAGCATCTATTCTCATTTACCTTGGTGTAGTAGCATACCAGCCCCCGTCCCGTCCTCCCCAACCCCTCACTTCCTCCCCTTCTTCCCCCCTCCCCCTCCCCCTCCCCCACCTTTCCCCTTCCCCTTCCCCTCCTCAGGCAGGTCAATCCCCCCACTCTCCACCTGCTCCCTCAACCAAGCCCTACACTCCTCCTTCGTCCCCTCAGGAAACTCGAGCTGCCAAGCGACGACACTATTCAGGATGGGCCCAATAGCAGGTCCGGGGCGGATGTTGAGCGTGCTGGAGATCTCTTTTCCCTGTGTGGGTTCGGAAGTGTTAGCTCTTTCGGGGAAGGAAGGGAGGGGGGACGAACGTCAAGTCTCGGTTTCTCCTCTATAGCAGCTGGCAAGCCCAGCTCTTCCAGACGGGCAAGAAACAGCTCATAAGCTCTCAGCACCTCTTCTGCCCCATCTACATCGGTCTCGTCAGTCTAGCTCTTCCCAGTCCAGCCCAGATGTAAACAAGTGCTGACCTTTGAGCCGCTTGTCACGCAGGTCCCAGTAGGGGATCAGATCCTGCACGAGGGAGAAAGAGAGGGAGTCTTCCCAGTTCAAACCTCGGACTGGGTCGTGCACAGCTGGGTTACGCAGTACGAGTCCTGCAGTCCCAGTACCGGGTCAGGTCAGTTCAGCCTGTTCTCGTTTTGAGGTTGGAATATGGGGACGCACCGATAGACCGCCGTTCCGGAGGAGGGAAACGGGATAAGACAGGCTGGGAGAGCAGTTCCGACGCAGCGAACAGAGCTGACATAGCAGTAACATCGTGGTTCGACAACTTGAGTCCCTCTCTGGTGATCGCCTCCACTGCCGGGGAGGGTCGTTTTTCCGTGTAGGTAACACGGGCGTAAGGCGTAAGCTCGGAGGCTAGGAAAAGTCGTTTCCTGATTTGGGAATCTTGGACGCGCTGGAACGTGCGTAAGCGGGGAGGGAAGAGAAGCTGGGAGAGGACGGAGGATGCTATGAGCCCGGTTTGGGAGGGGAGGGGAGGAGAGGAGAGGGACTGGGAGAAGGGGGCGGGAAGGAGGTAGATCGCTTCGTAGAGCGTTAGAGCGTGGATATGCTCAATGGCAAGGAGGGGGTTCGGGCCTGCGTAAGGTGTTAGCACATCTACGCAAGAGGAGGAGGAGGGGGGGACCTTTGAGCATCTTCTCTAACTCGATGCCTACGCGTTCGCGTGACACCTTCTGCATGAGCGCGTCCTTCACTTCCTTGAGCGCGGCTGCTTCCCGCAACGCAGGGTCGAGGACGAAGTTGAACCGTGCGGAAAACCGAATAGCGCGCGGGACCCGGAGGGGGTCATCTAGGAACGTCTGGCGCGGAGGGAGCGGGGTACGACAGATTCCGTTCTTCAGGTCGGCTAGGCCCTGCATGTTGTTAACGGGGGAATGAGGGTAGAGGATGAGAGGGTACGGCGCACCTTGCCGGTGAAATCCTCGACTTTGCGAGTGTGGACGTTGTAGAACAATGCGTTGATTGTCAGGTCTCTCCGGAGCGCGTCTTCTAAAGGCGTGCCAAACCGTTGCTTTCCCCCAAGTGAGCATAAGCGCAGCTACTTAAGAGAGCGGGAGGCGTACAGAAGGTACCCTGCTATCCTCCGCATAATCCTCCGCTCTGAGGTTAACAAAGTCCATCTCCAACCCCAGTATATCAAACTTTGTTGTCTCGAGATGCTTGCTCTTCTCGGGATTAGCCTCGATCCTGCTCGTCTTCCCACAGGGTACCCCATGCTCTCGGCACCATTCCTGCAGTCCCAAGGCGAAGGGTAGTCCCGTGAGGAAGGAAAGCGCAACATCGATATCGTCCGACGCTAGGGAGAGGAGCTTGTCCCTTACCCAACCGCCGGCGATGCGGCATTCTACGGGTGTGGAGAGGGAACGGGAGTATGAGTCGAGGATTGTGAATATTTGGGATTCGAGTGGTGTGAGAGTGATGGACATTGACATCGTGCGAGTAGGAGTTGGGGTGTGAATATGTCGAAGGAGAGTGGGAATGCGTCTGTGGGTATGGTTGAGAGAGAGGAGACGGAAGAGGGACATTAACTGTCCTATAGAGTGTAATGAGTCAATGTTACTTTTGATGAATGTTAGACCCTGACTCGAAATGGTCGGAGATAGGGCTCGGAGATAAGGAGTATTTACCGGTCAGTGCGGGGAATCACATTCACACATGCGTCTCTCATCATTCACACTTCACTGCTCATCTCCTCTCTTTCTCACCACCATCATGTCCCTCCTCACTCCCAAATCCCGTGCTCAACTCTCATCATTATTCAAAGTATACACACGACACAGACCAGCTATCCAACGTCTACTCATCACCTGCTTCGTCGCCTACACACTCCGCACAAGCTACACAACATTCCGCTACCCAGCACGGCCAAAGCAGAAAAAAGATGGAAAAGAGCGTGTGCAGATCGACGCTCTCTTCTATTCACGTCTGTCCCGGCTGCTGAAGATCCTCATTCCTTCTTGGAATAGCAAGGAAGCGCTCTTACTCGCCATGCACTCCTCATTCCTCCTCCTACGTACCGTCATCTCCTTGTACGTAGCAACCCTCGACGGGCGCATAGTCTCCTCCCTCGTCCGTGCCCAACCAAAACAGTTCCTTCTAAACATTGCAAAATGGATGGCAGTCGCCGTTCCTGCAACGTACACAAATAGCATGCTTTCCTACGTGCAGAGCAAGCTTGCGATCGCGTACAGGACGAGGTTGACGCGGGAGGTGATGGACCTCTACCTGGGGAAGGAGGGCGAGTCTTCACAAGCATTTTACCAGCTTGGTGAGTCCCCCTTTTTACCTTGTACCTCTCTAACAACGGCTAACTGCCACCCAGCAAACCTAGACGACAGGACCTCCGACGCAGACCAACTCATCACACTGGATATCCAGCAGTTCTCCACCGCCCTCGCAGCGATATACGGAAACACCGCCAAACCGGTACTCGATGTCATATTATACAACTACCAGTTGTCGAGGAACGTCGGCGCGGAGGGGCTGGTCCTTCTCACCGTGCTAGTGCAGTCCAGCGCTGCTCTGCGTACGCCTCCCCTCTCTCCTCACCTGGCCTCAGTTCCTGCTAATGCTAGGCAGTCCGAGCCCTCACACCCTCCTTTGGCGCCCTAGCAGCACAAGAATCCCAGCTCTCCGGCACCCTTCGCACAACCCACTCCCGCATCCTAGCTTGGGCCGAAGAGATCGCCTTCCTCTCCGGGGAAACTCTCGAGAAACTCAAACTCGACCGCGCGTATTTCTCCCTCCTTACGCACGCCGCCCACTCCCTGCAGGTCAGGGCCGCGCACGCAATGCTCGAGGAGGGCGTGGTAAAGTGGCTCTGGGGAGCGGTGGGCATGTGCATATGTGCGATTCCGGTGTTCTTTAACCTTGGTGCGGGCGGGCGGGGAATGGGAGAGAGGACAGAGGGGTTTGTCACTAACCGCAGACTGCTGTTAAGTGCGAGTGACGCATTCGGCCGGGTGCTGTACTCCTATAAAGGTGCGTTTCCTCCCTCCCTCTGTTCCAAGCTGAGCTCACCCCTCGCAGAACTATCCGAACTAGCAGGCTACACAGCCCGCGTCTCCCAACTCCTCGACACGCTCCACTCCGTCCGCTCAGGCCACTTTGAAAAACGTCTCTCAGCAACAGCGGACACCTCCCTTTTCGAACAGCGCGGCACGGTAGAAGAATCAGACGAGATCGAGTTCCGTGACGTGCCTATCGTTAGCCCCGCCGGGGAAGTCCTAGTCCGGAAGCTGACATTTCACGTCAAGCCTGGTGTACGTCCTCCTTTCCCTCCATCCTGCGCCCATTTCCGCACGCTAATCCCGCCTGCTTCTCACAGCAACATCTACTCATAGTAGGCCCCAACGGATGCGGCAAGTCCTCTACGTTCCGTATCCTAGGCGGGCTCTGGCCGGCCTATGCCGGCTTGGTCAGGAAACCGCCGCCGGGAGAGTTTACGTATATCCCCCAGAGACCGTATTTGTCTTTGGGAACATTGAGGGATCAGGTGATATATCCCCATGGGAAGGAGGAGATGGACGCCAGTGCGTGATCTCCCTTTCCCTGATCCGAGCGCTGCTGATGATCGGGCGATCCCGTCCCCTGTAGAGGGGGTAACGGACGACGACCTCCTCTCTATCCTAGCACACGTCGACCTCGAGCCTATCGTCGCCCGTGAAGGAGGCTGGGACGCAGCGCGGGACTGGTCCACCTCCCTCTCAGGAGGTGACAAGCAACGCATCGCCATGGCCCGGCTGTTTTATCACAAGCCCAAGTATGCGATACTTGACGAGTGTACGAGCAGCGTCACGCTCGAAGTGGAGAAACTCATGTTTGATCATGTTGCTGGTGAGCCGCTCTTGATCTGGGCGTCGCTGTGCTTTGGCGTGCTGACGGCGCCGCAGAATTGGGCATCACGTTGCTGACGGTATCACATCGTCCAAGTCTGTGGAAGTATCATAAGATGATACTGCAGTTTGACGGGCAGGGGAACTACATCTTGTGAGTCTGCTGTTTCCTCCACTTGCACGTCTACCTATTCTACCCGTACTTCCGCTCTCTGGCACTTTCATTTTCACCCACTCCACTTCCACCTCTATGGACCGTATGCTGACTTGCGCAGTACGGAGCTCGACGCTGAAAAGCGGCTTGCCCTGCAAGAAGAGAAACAAACGCTCGAGGCGAAGCTCGAGGAAGTGTACGTCCTCCCCCCTCCCCCCTACTCCCATCAATTCACCCCTTTATAGACCGAAGATGCGCGCAAGGCTCGAGGAGCTCAAAGCGGTCGCGAGGGATCGGGTTGGGTATAATCCCCAGCAGCCACTGGAGCTGGGGCTGTAGACTGTAGACTGTGCGCCTGCGCTGTGCTTCCTATGCTATACACCGGCTACACTTGTATCTATATATCTCTTGCTGTTGATTATATCCCTTCCTTCGCTGTCTTGTGCTCCTTTGTATTACCTGCCGGGAGTCCGCCTGGTATCTCTCCCCTGCTCACTCGCATGTCCGTTCGCCCACTCGCCCCTCCCTTCCCGCTCGACCCCCGTACACCCGACCCCTAATCATCATACTCAAAGGCGAACCTCGCTTGCTGGATCTCACACGCCTCGCCCAACCTCCGATTCACCTTCAACACACATTCATACATCCCATCCCCATGCACACTCGCCCATTCCTGCTCACTCAACGTCATCGGCGAGCGGATCGTGATCTGCACTGTCCCCTGTGCGCCTGGCGTATAAACTCTGTACTCGTACAAGAGCGGATCTTCAGATGGAAGGGACTCGGCGTTGCATGCCTGGAAGACGGCGGTGATGTGCGATAGGTAGACGGCGAGCCGGGAGGGCCGGACGAGGATCGTTATCCGCTCCAGGGTGGTGTTTGTGTTCGCGGACCGGTGTGGTACCTGTAGGGAGATGTTATCCTCTAGCACTTGGCGGGGACGGGCGCACGTACGCGTAGATACCGACTGTCTTTGGGCACGTCTTGGCAGAAGAACGGGAGCCTCCCTCTTGGCCCACAGATAGCCACGTTAGGGGAAGAGACGAGCCAGTTGATCTGCTGCCCTTGGGCTGTCCTTCTTCCCCCCTGTACAGGCTCATCATACTGCAACCCAACGCTAGCATTGTTGATCGTCTTGACGATCACGCCGCTCTCCATCACACCCGGACCGAGGCACCAGTCGATAAACCCCGGTTCTTTCCTCCACCACCAGTGCGCCTCCCGCTGCGCTGTCCTGTCCGACGACTCGTCTTCTGCTGGGGGGACGAAGGCGATGCACTCGATGTACGTCCCGTCTGAGAGGATGAAGAGTGCGTTCTCTGTCAGGCCGTCTGAGTGCGTGCCCCCTCTGACGAGGTTGAACCCGTAGGAGAAGAACTCTGCGATGGCCTCCGAGAGCGAGGGGACGAGGAGGATGATGTGGTCCAGTGTAGGCATGTTGTCGTGTGCCAAGAGCTTGGGGTTTGAAGATGTTGGAAGTGCGCTGTGCGTGAGGGGGAGATGTGCTGGCAGTGAAGCAACTGGAAACGCGGGATTGGAGAGGTGTTGTGACTCCTCGACGTGGTTCGTTTGATAGTTTGTGTAATAGGATACCAAATACTGGTGTAGAAATACAACAATAGATGCCCAGAGAAGTGGTAGTAGACAGCAAAGCAGTTAATTTGTTTGGTGAATGAAATACAGTAAATTGGAATAGTAAAGCAGATTCAGTCCCGGTCTAAGAGGAGGGGTAGCTTATCTCCAGCCTGTCGCAGGCCAGGAGAAGAAGAGGGGACACATGCTGTCTATGCTGACAGTCACGCGCCTCTCTCTCCTCTACCTCGAGGTCACCGCTGTCTTTCATCCAACTGTCCAAACTCGCAATACTTATCTTTAGAACTAGCGCCGACGACTTCTGATGCTTCTAAGAGGGGTACATGGGGGTAGAGAAAGAAACTTTGCCCCTATGCCATCGTCTATTCAAGCTTTGTTTATTCAATTCACACTGCCCAGACACGTTCAAAGGGATGCCTCCTTATTCCCATCTTCGCAATGGCTTGTCCGAGGGCGTGACTTGGCTGCATATGGATATCCAAGATCTCTAATTCTCTACGTAATCACCTTGACAGAGAAAGAAAGTCAAAGTTTAGCCTCGTGTTCCCTTGTCTGATCTAGGTGGAGAGAAGAACGTCCAACCACTCGCCAGCAATTCCTTCTCCGTCGGTCGGGACCCGTCTCCGCCCGACCTTGTGGCCATTTCAGATGACCTCGCTTACCCTTGGATGACGACGAATACACTCTAGAGCTACGCCTTCCCCACATGATTCGATGTCTGCCTGCTTGCTGTCGGCGCCATCAACATCCTCAGAAGAAACATCTCGGCTTGATGCCCGCGGCACGCTGGACCTTCTCTCTCGAGCTTCTTTCCGAGCCCGTGGAGATGCGCTCGAGACCGACATTTCATGAGCTAGGGATCTTCTCCTCCTTCCCTCTTCCTCTTTACACTCCTACTTAAGCCACCTGCACAGCGTGCCATGCTCTCGGCCGATACCTTCGCCCTCGCTCCTTCCCCCCACCACCCAGCCTCCATCCCTCCTCCCCATCATGGACGCTACGACGAAGGTCAATCCACCACCCCGGCCATTCGCATACGTGAACATGTCGGAGATCCATGTGCCTTACGTGCACTACTCTGACGATCCGCGCGATCCCGATCTGCAGATGCCCGAAGACCTCCTCGTCTTCGTATATCGATTGGCATGCAGGACCGCCAAGACCTGTCGACGGCAGTACGAGGCACTATCGAGGAAAGAAAAGTCCCCGCTAGCCTCCCCTCCCCCCACTCCTATCTCCCCACGATCTTCCATGTCCTCCTATTTCCCTGATACACCACCACCGCCAGTCGAAGACGCACGTTTCCTCCTCTTCTCGCCCTCTCCTCTTAACACTCTCCTAATCCCATCACACGACACTCCGGCGCCACAAACAAGATACGCCATCTCCCGCGCAGTTCATGAGCCAAATCGGGGATGGTTGTCCTCAGTACTAAGAGGGACCATGATTGGGCGCGTTGAGAATCGGGCTGGGTCAACGAAAGGCAGAGTGCTGTATGGAGGACGGGAGTTGCCCCTGAAGAAATGTGTTCTTCATGAAGATGCGCAGTGCGTACCCGTTCGCTGTGGTTATCCGTTCTGGGCTGACCGATGTCCAGTTCACTACAGTTTCATGCGCCAGAGCTACATCCTGCAAAGTTCACCTGGCGACGGGATCCTGCATCATCGCACTTCAAAGTTAGCATGGTCTATCCAACAGCCTTGTTGAAGTTAACCACATGCTTTAGTGTGTGATCCAACGCTCTGCGCAGCAACTGCCGTGTCTAGGCGCAACACTCTCTCCACCAGCACAGGGAGCCGATCAGCCGACACTCACGGTCTCGTCCCACTTCACAGACTGCATGGACCTTATCCTACTGACGATGCTCGTAGTGGAGAATTGCGCACACTAGTTGCCTAGCACCCGCACTGGCCAAGCTGGCCATTGGTGAGTTTTCACTTCCTTATCGGGAGACTGGCGTGATTGACAGATAAGTAGACATCTAAGGCGCTTAGCCTTCTTTCCCTCGGCCGTATCATATCGCCTCGCCCTTCGCCCTTCGCCCTTCGTCCTTCGCGGGCTCATGCGTTCTTCCTGAACCCAAGGCAAATACGTGCAAAATCGGTCACAGAGACTCCTATATCTGCCAGTGCCTACCATCATGCACACATCTGCAAGTTTTCATCCGAATCTACGGGTCTGTGGCTGGCAGGGGTAGGGGGGTGCTGGCACGCCCGGTATACGAGCGAACCTTTATGTGTATGAGCTTATAACGCTGTGGAAGCAAAGTAATGATATCCCCATGGTTTGCGTGGCGAGTTTCTTCCGAGTTAAGCCCTCTTGTCTGGAGTGTGATCGCGTTGCGGGGCCGCACGAGGGCGCTTGAACAAGCATCCCACGTCCGCGGCCTTCCCTCTTGTACAGGGCGGTACGTATGCTTCGCGAAGTCCCACAAGAAGTTGAAACGCAGCAGAAGAAGGTGTCGGACCTGCTTGCAGCGGGTGCTAAGCAGACTGCCAGCTTCGCCCCAGGATCGAATTCTCGCAGGATCGAGAGTGTTGCGCTGCCAACAAGTGTCAGAACGGGCTAGAGGGAGTGTGATATGCTGCGCGAATGCTGGTGACCGAGGAGCCGGGACAGACCGGACTCGGACTTGGACTTGGGTTATTAGATTGGAATTGTGGCATCGTCCCGACCGGAGAAAAGGTGTTGCCGATCGGGGCGGCGGCGGAACTGCTCGGCGTCAACTCTCCCCTCCGAGATCAGAACGGTACTGTATGAATTCCTCAGATGGGAATGAGGTCATGTTCATCGGCAGTCAGGGAAAGGCCTCTGCTGTACTCACTTTTGAACGAAATCGTGACGGTCCTACACCTTCGCATGGACATCTGCGTCAAATAGATTCTCGTACCCTCGAGTGAACTCGCGACGCAGCTGGCTCCATTTGATTTCGGGCTTAATGTTGCTGTGGCCATGTTTTCATCTATGCTGAAGTTTCCCTATGAGCGTTCCCGATCCCGCCTTACGTCCTGTCTGGAAAATATTACAAGTCAATTAGAAGTACAAGCTTGGCTGAAAGTAAATCCATCCTATCGAGATACGATGCCCCTCCTCCCTCCGAGACACTCCGCCCTGCCGCTCTGCTCTAGCTCTTCTCTAGCACAAAATCGCCCTGCATGCACACGCTCCCATCGGGCTCGATGAACGGCGAGTCCTCGTATTCCAAGCTCGCCGCGCCCGGGAAGTCAGACAGCTTAACACAGTAGTGGTACTCGTAGTCGTCTCTCAGATCCCGGTGCTGCAGTTTGAGCGTGACGGTCTTCCGTTCCGGGCTGTCGCTGGCCGAGGTGGGTGGGGGGAAGGTGCCAGGAGTCAGACGGTCGGTAGGGGGGAGAGGGTCGGTGTTGCCGATCTGGATCTGGGCTGTCAGGGGAGCGTTGTTTGACCCTGTACCGCGGACGAGGGCGATGGCGCAGTACCAGTTACCCTGAGATACAGGCTGCGACCCGTCCGCCATGCCGAAGACAAGCTGCCATGCGCGTCCTGTCGCGCAGTCAGTGGGCGGTTCTCCTAGGGACGTATATGCGCACCTCTGGCAATCCACCGCATGACGATCTTCTTGTGCATCCTCATCCGCCTCAACCAGTCCCTGCACTTGAACCTGATCTTAAAGTGTCCCGCCTGCCCATCAGGCACATGCTCAACATGTACGAAATCCACCGCTCTCGCACGTCCTTCTTCCCCGGGGCGGGAGATGATGCTCTCCGCCAGTCCTTGGGGTGCGAACCCCTCGCTCGCACGGAGGTATTGGAAGAGCGCGTTATCGTCCCCCAGTACGCAGGCGGCGATTGCTTCCCTCTGCGTCTCTCCTTTGAGCGGGAAGGCGGTGAGGAGGTCTAGTGCTGACCAGCCGTCGGGGGGAGGAGAGGAGGCGAGTTGGCCACCTGGAAGAGCACGCGCTAGGGGTGAGAGGGTGAGAACGGCCCAGTAGAGCGGAGGGTGGGACTCGATAAGCTCTTGAGAGAGGGAAGGGAAGGAGATGCCGTGCGAGGCACAGGCGACGTAGGAGCTATGCAAGACGTCCAGAGATGAAGGGTCGGACAGGTTGTGGATCACGTCTTTCAACTACATGATTCCTCGATGAACTCACAAAATACACGAGTGGAATGAGGAACACTCACGAGATCCCTCACAGTCCGTCTGATCTCATCCTCCTCTCGCCTCCGCCTCCAATACTCGGGAGTCAAAGGACTCCACTTAGCCGATGCAGGTCCATCCCTACTCGGTGGGCTAGGCAGAGAATAGTGGCTAGATCCAGCCTGTGCACTTTGGGAGTTCGGAGGCCAGGGGGGAATAGGGCGCTTTTGGTCGCCTGTTGGGCGAGAGGACGATGTACTGAGACTGTCGTACGAGGGGGGAGTGTCTAGCGAGCTGCCGTCGGGTGTGAGAGGCTCCTTTGTGATGACCATCCTGTGTTGTTAGGTAGAGATGTGAGCAGTGCAAGGGAGAGAATTGGATTCAGCAGCGCAAGTCTTGTAGGATGTACTGTGGAAATTAAATAATGAGATGGACGGCGCAGACGAGGGATGTCAACCGTGTGGTCAACTGCTGCGCCGGTGCTTCGCAGTTTCCCCTCACACCAGGGTCTGCTCTTTTCAATTTACCTTTTTCCCTTCGGGTTTGCGGCGCGCTTGATGCAAGATACGGCGTTTTACAGATAAACTCTTACTGTCATTATTGGGAAGGTCGAATTCCAAATCGAATAATAAATACAGCGCAAGTAGTCCATTGCATATATATTTCGTGACCACCCTCAATGAACTTGCTCATCTTCCCCACACTCTCCCTGAGTCCTACACGGGTATAACACTGCAACGTCTACGAGTAGCAACACTTCCTCGGAGTGGGAGACGCGACTGAAGGGGATCATGTGGAGATCGAGCCAACCCAGGAAGAGCGTGAACGGGTCACATCGCGGCCGACTTGAATCTGAATATCAGGAGATTGAAGGAAGGAAATGGACAGGTGCTCAATTATCAATGAATTAGTCTGAGATGGCTCGATGTACATCGGGCCGAATCACCGGATCTTGTACCTGGCGTTTGCCAAACCGGTGAGTGCCTGAATACGCACGGGCGCTTGCAGCATAGACATGGGCGACTGAAGTACATACAAGGGAAGAATTGTCATCTCGGTCACTGGATGTTCAAGTTCGCAGCCGATGCCGTGCTATAAGCAGTCTCAGCTGATTGTTCCGCAGGTATCCGGGGTATGCTATCCAATACATATCAGATAATTGTTCATTCGCTGAGTATCATGAGAACTGTCGGCTATAAGGCTGATAATGCCGATAGTGCCAATTCAGTGGAAGATCCCGATCCGATGACTCCGGTGAACCCTGATTTCCCTGATACTCGGGATTGGAGGAATTTGGTTCTTGACTGCGGAGGAACATGGGATCTAGGAGCGGGGCGGTGCGGCCAACCCAATGTTCGCAGCATGGAACTACGGCGCAATCAGTGTCCTCCTTGTCAAAAACAATACGCTCGACATTCCCCCCCTTTCACTGTTCCCCCCGGGTGAAAGACAATTTCATAATTGCTTACGATGAAGAACACGCAGTTCGTACCCGACACTCCACCTGATGCTCCACCAGAGTATGGCACTATCAACCCCGGCCCTTCCCAAGCTGCTGCTGCATCCACCCAAGCAGCCGGAAGTAACTCCAAGGCGCCTTTGAACGCGAGGCTCGATACCCTTGCCGGGCTTTACACACCCCAGCCTGCCTTAGAGACCGCTCCTCTTCCTGGAGAGCCGGCAGAACAGGGATGGGTAAGCTGGGCAGACTACGTCACTTGGGGCGGGATGATGCAGGCTTTCAAGAAGAAACAGAAGCAAGACGAGACGAGGGCGACTATGCGTAGTCTTGTAAGATTTCTTATGTTGTGCGAGTGCGCTCTGAGTGCTGATCCACTGGGTGTAGATACATGACACGCTGAAGAACCTCTCCGACCCCGGGGCTCTAGAGGTCCTGCATTCCTGTCAAGCCGCCTGTCGTGCCCATGCCCTCCCTTTCGAACAGCTCATTCAGGAAGACGTCGAGGGTCACACCCCTCTCTACTGGTCGATCCTCGCTGTCTGCCATCTTCCCTCCGCACAAGGAACTCCGCGACCCTCATACGACAACGGAGTCGGGAACGACATCCTCGAGCTCCTCCTCTCCGTCCCCTTAGAAGACAGGACCATCGCAGACGCGCGCTCTGCTCTCATGCTCAACAACGCCAACTCGCTCTTCCAGGCGCTCCGTACATACCCAACATTCGAGAAGACGAGCTATGCGGAGACCGTGATCGGCCTGCGCGGACCGACGACCCCCACACTGCCTAGTGGAAGCACCCCGGGCCGGGTGAGCATCGTCCAGGTTGAGGAGATCTCCGATACCGGCGTTGGCACTTTCCGCGTAGGCTGGGAAATACCGATGTGGTGCAAGCGCGTCAAGGTCGCGCGTAAAGTGACTGTACAGTGGATTGCCCGCGGCAGGGGATGGCAGTGTTCTGCTTCTATCAAAGAAGGCCATTGGGTGATCGGTATCAAGCTGCTCAAGAATAGCGCAAGCACGCCAATCACTGGCGTGCTCCGGCTTGGACCGTTAGATGCGAAGGAGAAAGTGGAGCTCAAGTACCAGAGAAGGAAGATGGAGACCAAGGACCACACGTACGACATCAGGCTTGATAGCGTACTTGGCGGAGCGACCTTGGAGTACGAGTACGTATACGGTTTATCTGCGGTGACAGGGTTCTGACATTGGATACAGGGACTCGCCCTACTTGACCCCCGAAGGAACGCTCTACGTCCAAGGAGAGTTCGTATTGGAGAAGAAAGATACCCGAGATTTCTGATACCACTCCGTCAGATCAGTGGAAGGATTTTGTACACTATACAGAATCTCTGGACTCTCTTCGTTTTGACCGTATATTGCATCTTCTTTGTTCCTTGTCCTCTCTGTGTGTGCTGATATGTAGTTATGTCAAACATACATGCCTGGTGTGATACCGAACCTCTCGTGAGTTTCAATACGCCAAGCAATTTCTCCTCTATTTCGTTCGTTCTCCCAGGAGACGATTTCGTTTTCCTCTTCCTGAGACGGCCAATGATGATCAAGCCACAGGAAGCTGAAACTCTGCAGTACCAACAATGACTAGCGTCACGCTCCTGTATTCTCATGCTATGAGTGATATTAATCTTAGCTTACTAGATGAGAGTGAAACACTTTCAATACGCCTCCTCCCCTAGCTCCCTGCTTGTTTGATAGCGAGCATAACTAATGTACTCTACACCTCCCAATGAGGCGTCAGGAGTAAGTCCGCTGGGGGGGAGTTGACTGCAGTGGCTCGAGCCTAGGTAGTAGTAGTTCCGACGTCCAGTAGTGGCCTACTCAAAGATAGACTCAGAAAGGAGGGAGGTCCGAAGGTCGGTTCGAGGGTTCGATGTGAGTTCCTAAACCCCAGGCAAGAGCGTGGCCAATGCCTGCCTAAGGCGCAAGCAATCCGACGAGAGTCCCAACTGGAGGAGTTGCCTAAAGGACTTGAAAGCTGATAGCGAGGGTTGCCAGGTTGGTTTGAGGATTCAAATCAACAGTTGGAATGAGAAGATCAGAGGGTAAAGTAAAGATTGACTGCAGAGTAGAGGTGTAGTATTAGGTGTAAGGTCAGTGCTGAGAGCGAGCCGAAGGAGCGTCCCTATCCGAAGTACTCGAATCGTCCTCAGACTTTCGGACTAACTACCTAAATCTATTCCTGATCTATATTACCTAAGGCTGTGTATAGGTCCACTCTTCCTTCCAATAGGAGTTAATTCCTCCGATGACCCCAATTCGGAGGCAAAGTCGCCAGAATGGCCCTCAGGGCCCAAAATCCCTCAATGACCCCTCCGGCCAGTGCTATCTCATGGTCCCAGACACAAATTAGCAAGTGGATTGACCCACAATCTGCCTGCTAGGGAGCAGGTTTTTGACCTCAAACCCTGTTCCAGTATCATACCACCAGTTAGACCCTGAGATACCAGCTGTTCCAGCCAGTACTGCATTTTGATGTGCTGATTCTTCACAGTGCTATTGTTTCCTCATGTGTTGTGGTGCAGCCCTAGTCACATCTAATGTGATTTCATTGCACACTGCTTCATTGTACACCACTGGGCTCACAAGAGGTAGGGTCAACCAGGCCCTCAAAGGCTGGAATGTCACACTTCCATCCCTTAGGTCATGGGTCAGCAAGAGGGCCTGAACTCCTATTATTCAGTACAGGTGCTTCAAGTGCTGAAAGTCATGCTGGGAGAGCAGAGGGTACTGAGTGTATGGATTCCTAATACTACAAAATATAATATGTACCAGAAAAGAGTGTTCCACTTCTCTAGAGCAAGAAGCATAATTGTAAGTAATGTATATATGACTACCTAATTGAGATCTATGGCCTTGTCTGAGTCCACAAACTCTAACACAGTCTTGTTTGAGTCCAAGGGCATGCTCTCCTTTTTTGCTGGTGCACATGGTGCTACCAGTGCATATGGCAAACTCTCCATGTTGTCATGTAACCAGCAACAGAACTGTGGCATCTCTGCATCAGTCATGGACATCTGGTCAACACCCTACATGACTGCCATTATCTGGGCTAGTGTCAGGGCACCAGCTCATTGCTTGGTCAAGAGACATGACTAAGCCTTTATGACATGGAAGTAGCTGGTATACCTTGGCATGTGCTGGAACCTGCTGGAAGGATTGGATGGTCAGGTGACCTGCTGTGCATGGCTGTGCATGACCTCATATGACCTCATCCTTGGTCATATGACCTGATCACCTGACTAGGCTGAGTAAGCAAGATGTTCTAGCAGGTTCCACCACAGAGGTATAAATATAAGGCCTACTCTGCCTGGGACTGTCTCTTCAGACTTGGTCTCTTAGGATCATCCACAGGTACCTATACTGTAGATAGGTCTTAGTCATCAGGTCTACTCCACTTCCTTGTTGCCTGCTTAGACTCTTGGCACTCTTAGGTGAGCAGACTTAGTCAGCCTGTGTTGCCCTAACACTCAGTCCCTTCCTTGTATGCAAACCAACTGCATTCAACACTGAAGAAACAATAAGCCAGCAGAAGCTTCACAACAAGCAGAGAGACATACCTAAAAGTGTTATGACTCCACTCAACACCATACAGCTACAAAGGGCAGTGAATAACCCAAGTCACTCTGCCTGAGACAAGACTGAAC